ATATTTTCATACTTCTATTCAGAACTGCACGTGGACCATTAAACCCTGTTACAAAGAAAAAAAAGTTAAAACATGAACAGAATCAAACCATGAAGGTAACCTTCAGTTTTAGAATTCAGGGGAAAAATGGGCTTTATGTCAACAGGTCCATCCTTTCAACCAGGGTTTGCCAATATTTTTTTCATAAAGAGTCAAGTAATCTTTTAGACTACATGAGAGTCAGTCTAATCCTTTAGACTCTGTGGATCATATGGCCTCTGTCACAGCTACTCAGTCCTGCCTTTGTAGTCTAAAAGCAGCCACAGACAATATGTACATGAATGGGCATGGCTGTGTTCTAATAAAACGATTTACAAAAACAGGCACGACATGGATTTGGCCTGCAAGTTATGGTTTGCCAACTCCTGCTTTAAACTTTTGCAACAGTTAGAGAAGAAAGGAAAAATGAAAACAGAGAGGGAAAGAGGAAGAGACCCAGACTGAAAAAGAACTGGAACATTTATTGGCCTCCCCAGGAGGCAAGTAAGTGACTGAAAATGTGGGTAAATTTCATTCTTGGCTGGGCACAGGGGCTCACGCCTGTAATCCCAGCAGTCTGCAGGGTCGAGGTGGGTGGATCATGACCCTCTTGGCCAACATGGTGAAACCCCATCTCTACTAAAAGTACAAAAATTAGCTGGGCGTGGTGGTGTGTGCCTGTAACTCCAGCTTCTCAGGAGGCTGAATCAGGAGAATAGCTTGAACCCAAGAGGCAGAGGTTGCAGTGAGCCAAGATTGCACCACTGCACTCCAGCCTGGGTGACAGAGCAAGACTCTGTCTTTAAAAAAAAAAGAAAATCATTCTTTTCCTTCTAGCTCAGGGCTGGCCTTAGGCAAAATGATAAAGCAGGAGCACCTCAATTCTGCCCATGCTTTCAGCCTTCCACATTGCATCATGTAGCCTGGTGCTCATGGGCTATTGCAGTCAGGGGGCACCTAAGAGCTCATTTCCACCCTCCATGTGAAGAACCCTCCCTTGGTCATTCTGAACAGGTGGCCACTGAGCCACAGCACGAACACCTCAAGTGCTAAGGGTCTCATTTCTCCAAAGTGACTGATTCCAGCAGATGGAATATGATATGATAGAAAAAAAATGAATTTTTGAGGGAAAAAAACCCAAACAAATGAAAAACCAGAATTCTGAGTCTGTAACTGTCCACCTTGTCACCTGATGCATGCCTTTAACCTGGGACCTTAAACTTTGTATCAACTAAGCCCTGACAAGATGTCTTAACCATGATTATTCTTCCAAAATATCCAGTCTATATGGAATAGATGCAGTTCCAATTTTAAAAAACACCAACAGAGAGAAGAAAAAAAAACTATGAGTTGTTCTCAGAGGTTGGAGCTTGACAACATGATTCTAAAACGTATATGGCCAATAATTATCAGGATAAGGGAGACAGGAGGTTCATCCTACTACGTATCAAGAATTAGGATAAACCTAGAGTATGTCTACCTTCATCAAATCCGAGATGCCACTGATTGTGAGACACATGCTGTCTTAAACACCATAACAAGAGAAGGCCAGTGCCATGAGCTGCATTGATAGTAACATGTATCACAATTTCAGAGATGGTAAAGCGTGGGGGAGTAAAAGTACCTCTTAGAATCAATGATGTATGGTAAAAACAGTGTGGAACACAAATAAAATTAGATCCCTCACTCCCACCTTATAAAAATTATATTTTGAATGGATTAAACTCCTATCAGTAAAAAAAAATCTCTAAAATATTTTGTAGGACAAAAAAAATAATAAAATACCCAAAGAAAAATTAGAAGACAAGCCACAGCTGGGGGAAGATATTTGCAACACATAAAATGAAGAATGGATTCGTTTCCAGAATATAAAGAAGTCCTACAGATCAATAAGAAAAGACGAACAAGCCAACATGAGAAGAGGCAATTCACAGAGGAGGAATTCTGCATGCCCAGTAAATGTGTGGAAAAGAGCACATCCTGCTCTGTAAGCAGAAAAATGCAGATTAAAACAATAAGATATATACCCACCAGGGCAGCAAAATAATATAAAGCGTTGGCAAGAATGTGTACAGACACAAGCTCTGCAGCTTGTGGGAGTAGAAACTACAAGATCACTTTGGAGACTAATTTGATAATGCTTCAAATATTTGAAGATGTTCATCCTACATCCCAACATCTAGTGCTTCAAGAAATATACTCTAGATATACATGTACATTTGGAATCAGAGAAAAGGATGTCTAATTTTAGCATTGTTTGAAACTGAGAATTTGGAACCAACTGTCAACTGAACAATGAATAACTATATTAGAGTACGTTCTAACAATGGAATACTACTCAGCTGTCAAAAGGGATAGCCTAAATCTAAGTGCTGAAGGTTGTACAACAATATGAATGTCCTTAAAATATCACTGATCTGTACACTTAAGAGTGATTAAAATTGTAAATTTTATGTTATACATATTTTGCAACAATAAAAAAAATTTTTCAAATGATCCTTGAATAAATAGCTGATTCAAGATCTGAGGTAAGGAAAATACAGAATGAAACAGAGTAACTTGTGGTACCAGAAAGTAGGTGCTAAAACAAGTAAAAAGATGGGGGAATGTCAAAGAGACAGGAGTTAACTTGAAACAAAAGCTGGAATTCAGACAATGAGGCAGATAGCAGAGTATTGGACTATAACTCAAAGTGTAAATATATAACCATGAGTCTATACTATGCAAATAAATGATGAGTAAATAAACAAGTGGGAGAAATAGACAACTTTGCCTTATAGAATAATTTTATTTAATACACATTGATACTCCCTTCTCCAGGAGGTGAAGTTTAAAATTTCCACCCCTTAAGTGTAGGCTAGATTTAGTTACTTGCTTTCAAGCAATACAGAATGGTAAAGTGGGAAAGAATAACTTTACCATGGAGAAATCTGGCGGATTCCCTTCACCAAGTGATGAAGCTTAACATCACCAGGGACGTTATGTGGACATCGAGTCTCCCTGATAGGATGAGATGAGAGGCACAATTAATCTCTGTGCTATTCTTTCCAAAATCCCACAATCCCAGTGTCATCAGGAGCAACTACTATTAGACACACTCAGATTAGGGAACCTTCTGGCAGATACCTGGACAGTACTCCTCAACCCTGTCCCAGGTCATTAAAAGCAAGGAAAAAAAAAAAAGAAACGACCAAGAAGAGACTGGGGAGAGGAGTAAATGAGACAAGGTGCTCTCATTAGACCCTGGAACACAGAGAAGACATTGACAGAAAAACTAGAGAAATTCCAGCGAAGCCCAGAGGTTAATTAAGGATAATTCACCAAAGTTGGTTTTGTTGTATTTTCACTTTGACCATAACCCGTGTTAATATCCGATATTAACAATGAGAAAACTGAGTGGAGTGTTGACGGCAACTCCTTGCACTGTCTGTTCAATATTTCTGGAAATGCAGAATTTTGTGAAATCATAAAGTTAATGTTTAAAATAAAGTGAATAAGTGAAAAGGAAATGCACACAGTATTATTCCATTTTTGTAAATATCTAAAACACTCAAAAATACTATTTTTGTTAAGAGGTACATACTAAAGTAGTGAAAATATAAAAACCGATAAATGAAATAAAAGCATAAAAGGGGGGTAATATAAACTAGCTTTAGGAGACTTGTCATCTCTGGAGAAAAAGGAGGGAATTCGACTGGGGTGTAAAACTGCCAATTTTAAAATATATGCTAACAGTCGTCAAAATGTGTTTGATACATTTATGAGTGTTTACTATTCTCTGTACTTTCCTGAAAACATAAAGCTTCCCAGAATTCATAAATAAATATTTATAAAGCCAAAAGGGGGAGGAAAGAGGAAACTCTAGAACCAGATGGACTGGTTTGAGTCTGAGCCTGTTATGTAGTTGCTTTGTACCCTTTATAAACCTCAGTTTCCTCGTGCGTTAAATGGAGAATAACAGTTGCATATTGCTATCGCTATGTGATTTCAATGAGACGGTATAAGAAAAGTTCTTAGCAATAATGACTGGCGTAGTCAGCACACACAATACACACTAGCTGGCGTGCTTATTTTAATCTTGAAGTATTTTGACTCCTGCAGTCAGATTTTTGTCTCTTACTTTTCCTAATGCTATGCCCTCACTTGTCTTCCCATACACATGTTAGTCTCAATTGCTGTTTGTAGGGGATATTTATTTATGCCTTCATTGTGTGTGTGTGTGTGTGTGTGTGTGTGTGTGTGCTTGCTTATTTCATTATATATATATATTTCATTATATTTTATAATATATTTATATATATTTCTTTAACCAATATATGAGCTTATTCTATGTGCAAAGCAACATCCTGGGTTTGGAGGACACACAGATAATAGCCCAACGCTGCAAACAATAGAAATATCCCTATCGGGAAAGAAGGAACATGGAGGGTAATGGAATCTCGGAGTAGGGTAATTCCACTCAAACTTCAGGAGAAAGGAACGCTTTCCTAGTGCAGAAATAGCGGAGCCAAGTTTTGAGCAAGGAGTAAAAATTATCTAAGTGAAAGAAAAGTGAGTTTCTTTGGTGCAAACCAAAGATCATCAACTTTGGGATCCATGAAGTGTAGAATACAGTTGGAGGGTATGGAGCAGCAGGAGGGCAGGGGTCAGGAGATAAAAATGGATTACAAGCCAGAGCTGGATCACAAAAGATCCCAAATGCCGGGCTACAATATTTTTAACCTTAATTCTAAGGCAATGGGGAAGCTCTGAAGGATTCAAGTGAAAAAGTGACCTGCCCAGACTGGGGACAAGTGGGTGGAATATATTAAGGCTGTGAGTTGGAAGGCTGGTGGTTATACTGATAGATTAACAGCCAGAAACAAAAGAGTGGAACATTTTTCTTTACTTCATACTCTTTCATTCCACCACTCCCACGAGCCTCCTGAGGAGGCAGAACATGTGAGGAACCATGGGAGAACGGATCTCAGATTTATCCATACCTTATCAATAGCAGCACAGGGCTCCAAATGTCCATGATGAAGACTGGTTTAGAGCATGAGTCCACCACTCCAGGCATGAGTAAGCCCTGTGACTCTCCCTGGCTCTGTGGATTCAAGAAGAAGGAAGTGTCATACATTGTCCAACCCATTCCCATGGGCTGAAACTTGGCAGGATGCAAGTAAAAGAGGTTTCAGTCTAGATACAAAGATGCTAACCCCATCCCCTAGTGGAATGAGGTTTATTGTCTGTCTTGGATGCTGAGGTTGGGTGTTCTTCCAAGGGGCTAATGCAAAGTGAGGAAGCTCTAACTGTTTCTTATTTTTTCACTGTGTGTTCACTCTCCTGCCCTGCCCTGAACCCCATCCCAATTTGCCAGTGAAATTCACTTTGCGGAATGTGTGTTTCTGAAAATACTTGGCCGTATCTGTTTTTCTACTAACAATCCTAATGGTATTCCTTCAGAAAGGTTTAGGTATCTCAAGTCGTGCCAGGGTGGAGGATGTCTTTAGAGTTTATATTTGCTTGCATAAAGGCAATGCATTGACAAACAAAAAATTTTTCCATATTTAAAGGGCTTGGAAGTGGGAGCAGAGATGGGATGGTAGGCAAAGACAGGCTTGGAGTGTGGAGAAGGGAATGTTTCTCCTCCTATGGAATGAAGTTGACTCTAGAAGTAATGGGCTTTTGGAAGGGTTACCACTGTTCCTTACAGAAGCCAAAGACTCTCCTTACTATGCATCATCCCCATCACTCCCCACCAAAAAATGTCCTCCATACTCTTCCTGTGCAATCTGAGATGCACCAGGAAGGAGAGACATCACAGCTTCCACAAGCAATCCAAAATTCACCTGCTTTTCAGTCAAGGGAGAGTGAACCTCCAAACAAACAAACAAAAAAGGCCCTGGGATCGGCGAGGAATTTTCAAATGAAATATACATCCCCCTTCCCTCCATTGAAGATTCTTCTGCCATTTACATAAACTAAACCTGCCTTGGATGCTCACCACCTGCTTTTCTCTCCAATCGGACACCATATCCAAGTCTTTCTCCAAAGCCGGCTCCCCACCTTCATGGTTTTTTTAATATATCTTTTTTAAAAACTACTCTTTGAGTATGGTTATTTTATCTGGGGTCAGTGCTCAGTCAACTGTTAAATAAATTGCAAATTCTACAAAACACAGCCAGCAGAGCCATTTCTAACTGTAATGCCACAACTTCGAGCAAAATTACATCTGGCTACAATACTATTCATATGCATAAATTATACCGCCTCTGATTATCTTAAAGAAAATTCAGCCATTAAACTTATTTTATAGGCAGAGAATCAGGGGGAGCACCAGGAAGAATCTGCATCTCCTAAAAGTCACAGGGAAAGCAGAAAGAAACAAAAACATAATTGGCAAACCTTATCCGCCTGCAGTTCTGTCTAATGGGCTCTGTCTCTCCTAATTTTCCATCACCACCCACCACTGACATACACATCACAGCAGGGGAAAGGAAGAGGGCAGGGAGGAGCGGGTGGCACCAGTCTGCATGTGGTGAGGACAGATTAAGGATGCATTCCAGCTCTGCACGTGTCCCCAGAGGGGAAAAGCTCTCTGGGTGTACCTCAATGGGAAATTCAGATTTAGTGCAGACATAAATCTAAACCTTGCCCAGGAGAATGGACAAGATGGTTTCTGAGTCTGATGCAGAATCTATTTGCAGTACACATCCAAAATGTATCCTAGCTTGTGCTACGGAGTTGCCTTTGCCAGCTACGTTGTTTGAATCATAACAGGAAAAATAAGAGTAATCAGTAAATGCTTACGTGCCACATATATCCTAGTCAACCAAAAGAATGACCCAATGAGGGGGGAATTTCTTTATTTTATTGTACTTTAAGTCCCAGGATACATGTGCAAGATGTGTAGGTTTGTCACATAGGTATACATGTGCCATGGTGGTTTGCTGCACCTATCAACCTGTCATCTAGGTTTTAGGACCCACATGCATTAGCTATTTGTCCTAATGCTCCCCTTCCCCTTGCCCCCCACCCACTGACTGGCCCCAGTATATGTTGTTCCCCTCCCTCTGTTTATGCGTTCTTATTTTTCAACTCCCACTTATAAGTGAGAACATGTGGTGTTTGGTTTTCTGTTCCTGTGTCAGTTTGCTGAGGATGATGACTTCTGGCTTCATCCATGTCCCTGCAAAGGACAGGATCTCATTCCTTTTTATGGCTACATAGTATTCCCCGGTGTATATGTACCACATTTTTTTTATCCAGCCTATCATTAATGGGCATTTGGGTTTGTTCTGTGTCTTTGCTATAGTAAGCAGTACTGCAATAAACACACGTGTGCATGTGTCTTTATAGTAGAATGATTTATAGTTGATTGGGTATATACCCAATAATGGGATTGCTGGGTCAAATGGTATTTCTGGTTCTAGATCCTTGAGAAATCACCACACTGTCTTCCACAGTGGCTGAACTAATTTACGTTGCTGAGGAGGGAATTTCTATCAAATACCTTTTCTACATGAGAAAACTGAAGAACAGAGGAATTAAGTTATTTTCTCAAGCACACACATTTAGGAAATGGTGAAACTGGGACTCGAACCCAGACAGTCTGACAATAGAGCCTGTGATCCTAACTGCCATGTTGCTCTTCCATTGAGATTATTAAGGTGTTAGGGGTTCTGAGCTGTCACCAGAGCTTATCATTTAACCATGGGCCTCAATCCTTGGTATTTTTTTCTGAGATTTGAGATTGAGTTATACATAGCAGCTGAACTTAACTAAGCCAATCAGATTGTTTTTCCTGGGAATTTGAAGTAGGACACCTTCCCCTAGGTAGTTGGCAGTCAGTGCCAGTTTGAGACAATCACAGTGGGTCACGTTAATAGAGCAGAAACAGAGATGGCTAATCATCTAGGAAAGGAGAATAAAGTAGATGAAATCAACATAAAAATGATGATAGTAGAGAAAGACAGAGATTGAGCACCTCGATTCCAGCATAGCTTTCCACAGAGGCAGTAAGTTCTTACTAAAACATGGCAGCACTTCCTATCCTTTAATTCTGCGCAAGGAAGCCCCCTAATTCTCATTCTTTATGACAAAGGTTTGTTTACTGGCGCTCACTCAGTGGGTTTTATATAATGAAACCAATCCTAAGTCCTTGCTATGTACCAGGCACTGTGCTAAACACTTGATGGCATTAGTTCATGTAACTCTCAGGAACTCTATGAAGGTATGCTGTGTCATTGTCCCCATTTCCAAGATTAGGAAGTTCAGATAGATAAAGTAACCCACCTGAAGTGATAGAATGGCAAAGCCTACATTTGAACCCAAGCAGAGAGGCACCAAAGCCTATGCTCTTAGACGCCATCTCCCTACCTGCCATTTTTCCCTCTCTCTGGTCTCTGCCATGCAGAAGGAAAGGTGGTCCTTATGCCATACCTGTCAGTTGTCCTCACCCACTGCACCCCTTTATCCCCTGCCACCCACCTTCCTTTGCCTCTGTCTCTCTCTCCCACTCTTCAAGAATATTAAAGATGATAAATCTAAGTTGAAAACATGCATTTTTTGTAAGACTGCAGACTTTATCCCTTTTTGTAAAGACAGACATGACAATTTATAAACTCTGACGGAGCTCTGATGGAATGGAATGAGGCCTTTTCAACCCACCTCGTGGTGGACAGCTTATCGCCCCTTTTTCTGACCTCTGGTATGTGATTTAGGAGAAAATTGAGTCGGGAGGGGGAACCCTCTAGTGAGTGATTAGAAAAACTCTCCCTCAAATTCTGTAAGCAGTGGATTAGATCCTATCAGCCCTCATCTGCCCCTCCCCACATTTCACTCCAGGTAGTGCGTCCTGGGTGAGGGAAGGCTAAGACTGTCAATTTGTTAGTTGAAAACAGTTTTAAAATCCATTTCTCCCCTTGAAATATGTCAGCCACAGAGAAGTATCTCTCTGCTTTGACACCACTTTATGTATGTCATTTAAGATAACAATGAAAAAGGCTCCAGGAGGCAGAGGTGGGTGTTCTTCCAAGGGGCTAACTCAAAGTGAGAAAGATCTGTTGCTCATGTTTTCACTGCTTGGCCCCTCTCCTGCCCTCCCCTGAACCCCATCCCAATTTGCCAATGAGATTCACTTTGCAGAATGTGTGTTTCTGAAACGACTTGGCCTTATCTATTTTTCTACAAACAATCCTAATGGCATTCCTTAGGAAGGGTTTAGGTATCTAAAGTTATGCCACGGAGGAGGATGTCTCTCAGGGTGTTTGCATTTGCTCACACAAAGGGAACACGTTGAGATACTCTCCATAGCTTAGTACACAATCAGTAACAACGATAATAACTCTGTGGGTTGGACATAGTGCTGGAGGTTTTATGTCTAGAGCTTCTCAATTAAAGCCTCTTCCCAGGGTATGGGTATCATCTCTGTCCTGGAAGAAACACTGAAACCAGTAAGTCAATCATGAATAGACACTTAGTGACTGATAAATGCCATGTCTCTACTCTGCTCTCAAAGCTCCTTTGAGTCCTTAGGAAATAAGCCAACAAGGGGTATCCCATTTGCCCCTTTCTTTTTCCCTCTTCTATCTCCAGGCAAAAATACCCACTGTTTCACTACCACATGCCAAGAGATCAAAGCCGAAAAGTCCTTTATACCAGGGAGGTAGTTCTTGTTAAAAATGGAGTTTCTCAAAGTCATCAGTGGGAGTATCGTTGGGTCTTTCAGATTCTTCACAGGGGAGATGCTATTAGCAAAGTTTCATCTTTTTAGACCTGACTACCTCTCATAACACAGCGTCATGCATTATAATGCTAACAGATCCTTCCTCCTCCCCACCAATTTTTCAGAAATAAAGTAATTTTGTGTATGTATATGAATAGATGCCATTTGTATCCCCCTTTTTTGGAGAGGAGGAAACTTCAGCTCAGAGGTTAGAGGGGTTGTCCCAGGTTCCAGAGTTAACAAGTAACAGAGTCGTTGAACCCAGGCTATTAGACTCCACAGTACAGCACTCAACAACATATTCATTTATTCCACATACATTAAGTATCTACTATATGCTGTCCTTTGTGTCTGGGATACGATGGATAGTTTTTAAA